GTTCAGTCAGGTCTGTTGTTCCTTAGGCCTTAGTTGAGCCTCTCTATGTTATTCTGTGCCTTTTGCTGTTTCTTCCTTCCTTAGGTGTTGTGCATTGAAAACCCTGCCTGGTCACATTGGCAAACAGCCTTCTGAACCAATTTTCCAGCTAATGCCTTTGGCTATTTTATGTTATGTAGAAATCACTTAATTCGTGTATTGAATCAAGGTCCAAAAATACTTGATCATAGGCAAAGTAAATTCACTTAGAGTTTCTATGGACAATTTTAAATGTATTTTATCAACAGGTGGGAGATGTACGCGTCCAGTTTTTCTATGCTGGGCTTAATGGGAAGACAGGCTCAGGTTCGGGAGACCCAATCAAGGTATCGTTCTCTTGTAACTCCTCCTTTTAATATGCACATGTGCAATAAGTAGCGTTAGGCAAGTGTAATTCAGCTTATCATATGAATATTACCTCCCTCTCAGAGCTAAATCCTAATTGCATCTCACTTCAATTTGTATCATAATTTCTGTTGATGCCAACATTTTATAAAGAGTTCTACCTTTATTTGAATGAATTATCAGTTTGTGTTATTTCTTGACAGGTCAGTATTGTAGCTCCACAGCAAGGTGGAAGATTATCACCGTATCACACAAAATCTGGCAATTCATTGGAAATTCTTTATCCCGGAGAAATGAGTGCTGAGGTAACTTAACAATAATTTGCGGAATTTTTTCTCATGTCCAGAGGATTCTCTCTTTTTTGAGTATTTCCTCATTTCTCTGCCCAAACCTGGACAATGATAGCGAAATTGTAGTTTGTACCCTTAAAAGGGCAGACATGCCTCCTTGTTCCTTTCCCCTTAGAAATATCTCAATTGATATCAAGAACTGTGCACTTCATTCCTGGCAATTATACACAGGATGCAGGCGAAAAAAGTGGGCCCACAAAAACGGCCATTCCCCTTACAAGTGCTGTTTTTCACCTGTCTGCTCTCTTTGGTGAGGCAGGTTGCATTCTTGGCTTGAATGTAACAAGCATTCTGCATACTGTTAGGATCACTGACATCAGTAGTGGCTAAAACACTCTGTGCAAAAATACAGTAGATGTCAGCTCTGTGTTTGCTACATTGATGGATTGACTGACTAATTTCTCTTTGTAGGAGATTTTTGAAGCTAAGAAGTTAAAAAACGTGGCTTTAACGTGGGTTTTAAGGGTGATATTCTTGGTCCTGATGATCCTTGGATTTATGATAATAGAAGCCTATAATGGTCTGATGATGGCCTGTATTCTTACTGCACTGAGTAAGTGACCTCTTCCAGTTAACATTTTGATGACTGATTGAAAAAGTTTACCTTATATCACTGTTACAAAGAGCTCTGCCCCTTGTTTTTTCCTGTCTTCAGTTGCTTGTTGTCCACAAAGTTGTGAGCCTGGGCCTGACGCTCTTGTGCCTTTATCTTGTTACTTTGTTGTCCCTGGTCATCACTCGAATAGTTCCGTACAGGAAGAGAATTAACTTTGGAACGATAATGGGAATATCCCACTACCTTTAACTTGTCCGCGGGAAACTGGGAGTCTAGTTGTCCCAGACTCTTCGAGGAAAATGTGTAACGCCTGTTATTTTATTTACTTCCTCTTTCATTTTCGCTGATTCGAAGATTTTTAGCGAGCAGAGAATCATCATGTATCGGTCACATGTAAGTATTTGATATTCAATTTAGAAGGTTAATAAACCCAGGGAAAGAAGGTATTACAACACCAAAATCAACGTATTTATCATTGTAAATAAGCTTTACTTGTAAATTGTATCGCCATCATTGCAGGTCTAACTCTCGCCCTTCCAAAGTTCATGCAGGTGTGTTACTTATAGACAATCTTTATGAGGCGAGATCTTTTCCCAGTTTTGATTTAGAACCTTCTTTGTACCTTAGAATGGTTTCATCGATAGTTTTGTCAGACAGAAGTGTTTTGCTTTCAAATCTACGTATTCGTTTGTCTGCGTGTTTGCTCATCGTTTACAAACCAAACAAAAAAAAAAGTCGATTGGATATCAACTTAAAGTTACTTAATTTGTAATCTGTTGTTACGAGAGCTGTCAGTTTAAATTTTGACGCCCAATTCAATAACAAATTAAAATTAAGA